GCTTCCGGGGCAGCTGGACCCCTCCCCCGTTCCTCCCCCTCCCCTCGGCGCCCTCCTCCACCTCCCGCGCGTCCCTCGTTTCCTGCCGGAGCCCGTTGCCATAGCGACGCCGCTCCCGGGCCTCTGCGCTCTAGGCCCCGAGGTTGTTTTTTTGTGTGTGTTTTTTTTCCGCTCTCGCTCTCCCTTTCTCCTCTTTTTTTTCCTTCTTTCTCTCCGAGTTCGGCTCGTCGGTAGGAGGGGCGAAGCTGAGAGAGTGCTGGCCTCTAGTGGGGAACTGACCTCCTCCAGAGAAGGAGAAGGGAGGGAAGTGACGTGAAAAGGGGAATAAGATATTTTCTGGAGCCTCTGGGAATGTAGGATAGAAAGAAGGGATCAAAGGAACTAACTGGCGGAGAGGAAGAAAGAGCCAAACAACGGCCCTAAAGAAACAAAAGATTGAGGAAGGATATGAAGCAGAGAAGAGGAGAGGAAACAAAAGAGTTGGAGAACAATAAAGGTTGACAAACTGGACAGAGAATACTGATTTTTTTCCCTTTTCTCACCTCAACTCCAAGAAGGCGGGAAAGGATGCTACACAGAACTGTGAACCTATCAAGACATGGCATTCGTTTAAAAGCAATAACTTAATATAAATTGCTTTGAACAACACTTGTATCGGACTGTATTGGCAGGAATGTTTGTGTGTTATTCGATTTAAATACGTATATAAAAAAGGAGTACGACAAAAACAAAGGAAGAAGCAGGGGTTTAAAGAGAACAATAGGGCTGCATTTGCGAGCACTAAACTGATGAGGGAGTAGCCCATGTCATTTTATATATCAGTTTTTCATCATTCAGTCACTCAACATTCAGCAAGTATTTATAGAGCACCTACTATGTGCTAGACACTGTGGGGAGCTTGGGTTACATCAATGCACAAAACAAAGATGTTAAGATAAGTGCTCTCATTTCCCTTTACAGAAAGGAGTAGGGATGCTTTGTGGGTGCTGTTTCTCTTGCTATCATAAGCACTGGGCTGCAAGATCAATTTGAACTACAAGTCTGGTGGTTCAAACTCACCACCAAACTATGCTATGGGTTGGCACTTAGCAACAACAACATCATAGTCCAGAAACTATTTTTACTTAATGGCTTTCCTTTACCTAGCCTAGTATTTTCTTCTTCAACCCACTCTCCATTCTGTCCTTTAAAATCCAATGCATGATAACGTTTTTAGGGAAAATAATAAAAGTGTTCTCTTTGTTTATAATTTAGAGCATTGGACTTCAAACCACAGGCTCTAAAGTTTGAGCCCACCAGTGGTTCCATAGGTGCAAGATGAGGCTTTCTGCTCCTGCCAAGATTTAAAGCCTTGGAAACCCTATACAGACAGGGTCAACAACAAAAGATTTACTTTAGTGAAAACTGGTGGCACTATATGATAAGCACTGGATTGCTAACCATAAAATGAACAATTCAGACTCACCAGCCTCACCAAGGGAGAAAGGTGAGATTTTTCTGTTCCCAAAAAAATACGTTGCTGTTGTTAAGTACCAAGTACCATGGAGTCAGTTCCAACTCATAGTGACCCTGCACAGGGTTTCTGAGGCAGTAAATCTTTATCTGAGCTGAAAGCCTCATCTTTCTCCCACGGAACAGCTGGTAGTTCCGAGCTGCCGACCTTGAGGTTAGCAGTCTGATTCATAACCACTACGCTAGAGCCTCAGAAACTATACAGGGTTGCAATGAGTTGGCACTTGACAACAACAGTGAAGATTTATAGCTTCAGAAACTATGAAGTCCATACGATGGTTATGCTTAATTTTTTTTATTTTAGATTTACTTTAAATGACTCTAGACTCTTAATCTGTAGTGTGAGATTTATGTCAGAAAAATCTCTGCCAGGCTTCTAGGAACCAGTCAGACAAGTGTGTGAGGGAAGAAACAGGAGGGCAGCCAAAGGACTGGAAAAAACAAATCAAGGAGTGTGGAGAGGTGAACAGGTATGCTGCTAGACCACAATGACACGTTTTGGCTGAGGATGAATTAGAAAGGTTCTGCAGGTAGAACTAATAATTAAACTATGTAAAGCATTAGAGTGTATATGTTGTGTGCCATCAAGTCTATTCCAATTCATAGCAATCATATATGACAGAAAGGAGCTCTAGTAGCATAGTGGTTACAAATCGGGCTGCGAGCCGCCAGGTCAGCAGTTTGAAACTACCAGCTGTTCCGCAGGAGAAAGATGAGGCTTTCTGCTCCCATAAAGATTTATAGCCTCGGAAACCCTGTACAGGGTCGCTATGGGTCGGAACCGACTCCACGGCACATCACAACAACAACATATATGACAGAGTAGAACTAACCCATAGGATTTCCTAGGATGATGTCTTTATGGGAGCAGATCACCAAGGTTTTTATCCCATGCAGCTGCTGGTGAGTTCAAACAAACAACTTTTTGGTTAGCAGCCAAGCACTTAACCATTGTGCCACCAGGACTTCTTAAAGCATTAACAGTTTCATTCAAGCCTAGATTCATGGTAAGTCAAAGAAGTTTAAAGTTTTCTTGGGTAGGCTTATTGTTGTTAAGTTCCTTTGAATTGGTTCCCACTCATAGTGACCCTGTATAGGGTTTCTGCGGAGCAGCTGGTGAGCCTGAACTGTCAACCTTGCAGTTCAAATGAACTTGCAACCTATCGTGTTAACCCAAGGTACCACACCAGGACCAGAACTGAATATCCTAGCACCAATGAAAAATAAATACAGAGAAATTTTGGATTATGTGACAATCGGGCTAGAAGCATTATTTAAGTGCTTCCATAGAATTCTAGTTATGTGTCTAAGGAAGGCCTGTAATTTATTCCAAGGATAAAAAGAACAGAAAACACCCACTGCCATGGAATCAATTCCAATCCCAGTGACCCTGTGTAGGTTTCTGAGACTGTAATCTTTAATTGAGCTCTCATAACATAGTGGGTTATGAGTTGGACTGCTAACTGCAAAGTAAGCAGTTTGAATCTACCAGCAGCAATTTCTGTTGGAGAAAGATGAGGATTTCCGCTATCTTAAAGATTTACAGCATTAGAAACCCTTGTTGTTGTTGTTAAGTGCGGGTGAGCTTGAACCACTGACCTTGCAGTTCAAACAACTTTGCAATCTGGCACATTAACCCACAGTACCAAACCAGGAATTCTAGAAACCCTATGCAGGCTCATTGTGAGTTGGAACCTATTCCATGGCACACAACCACCAACCAACCAATCTTTAAGAGAACAGAAAGCAGTTGGTGGGTTTAAACTACTAACCATATATGCAGTTAGCAGCTCAACTTGTCACCCACTACACCACCAGGATAGTAAATACTGATGTCTGAGAATATGCACTCATTTTGCAATCCTGTATGAAACATGGGTACTTGCAAGGCACCTGGCCATCCTCAGCTCCATTAGAAATGTGTAACTATAAATAGGAATCCTAATGTGGAGGTGTCCTGGTGTGGCACTGTGGTTTAATGCACTGGGCTGCAGTCATTCGAACCCCAGATCCAGTGTCTCTTTTTGTTGTGCATAGGGTCACTATGAGTCTACGGATTTGATGGCACCTAACAACAACAACAAGCCTTGTTGATTATGGGACAATGATTTAATTTTCATACCTAAAGGAATTCTTTTCAAATTCTATTTCTCTTCAAAATAGACCTGTTTTCCAAGGTCATAGGCCTAAGCAGTTTCCCAAAGAAAAATTCAGCATAAAAATGAAAACGTATCCAAGAAAAAGGAACAGGGCACATAGCAGTAGAAAAATGTTCATCCTTAAAAAATTAATTTTCATAATCTAAGTCAGCTTGTAAACAGGCACTAAAAGCTCTAAACTTAGTCTAAGTTTAGACTAACTTCAGTTAACTTTTCTTTTACTGGATCTTTGCTAAACTTCTCATTTCCATTTAATGATTCTGCTGCAACAAGTCTTTTCTTTTTCAAACCAAACTGTTCTTGTGATTAGAGACTAGATTATTTCGTTCTGCATAACACTAAAGACCATTAGCCTAAATATGTGAAAAGGAAATGCTTTCAATGTAGGAAGTAGAAATCAAGCCCTCCCTGCTGTGGTTGTTAAGTGTTGTCAAGTTGGTTCCAACTCTGAGCGCCCTTAGTTTTCCAAGGAGCAGCTGGTGGGTATGAACTGCCAACCTTGTGGTTCCAAGTCTAGTGCTGATCCTACAGCACCACACCAGGACTCCAGGAGTACACTGTTGTTGTTATTGTTAAGTACTGTCGAGTTGGTTTTAACTCGTAGTGACCCTTTATAGCGTTTCCTAGGAGCAACTGGAGAGCTTGAACCACCTACCTTGCAGTTCAAACCAACTTTGCAGTCCAGCACCTTAACTCACAGCCCCACACCAGGACTCCATCGTAGAGTAGTTGGAAATAAATGAGATATATATTAAATATGTCATACAGTAACACACAAGGAGCCGTGGTAGCATAGTGGTTATGAATCAGGCTGTGAACCTTAAGGTCAGCAGTTTGAAACTACCAGCTGTTCAGCTGGAGAAAGATGAGGCTTTCTGCTCCCGTAAAGATTTACCATCTCAGAAACCCTGTACAGGGTCATTATGAGTTGGAACCGACTCCATGGCACATAACCACCACCACCACAGTAACACAGTATGAGGTACTATTGGTTTCCTTTAATAACCCAATACAGTTTTGTAGTCATCCTTTTTACTTGCCCTCATATATGCACAAAGATGCTTAGCATTTGCCCTAATTTATCTTCTTCTCCTTTCCAGCATGTGAAC